AGAGAGGACAGGGCCTGAAAAGTGCCCCRGCTCATGAATATTCATGATGGCCGTGCGGTCAGTTTTGATCACTCAGATCCATTCAAGGCACTGTCTCTAAGCCTTTGTGAGAGCAGGAAACAGGTTCAGGGAGTAAGGAGGAAGGGAAGAAGATTGAGGTTAAAGTGAATTGACAGGCAATAGGATTAGAACTCTTGCTCAATTCTGATCTTGCGAGTAACTAACAGTGGCCTGAAATTAAAGAATTAAACCAGGAAGGCTTCTTTGACAACTGATCTGATAGGCCCAGAAGTAAATTTCAGGGACAGTGTTGTTAGGCAGAGGCAGGGGACAGCTAAGATAAGGGACTTGGGAGACCAGAGAAGGGGAGTGAAGCAAGTCTTTCTTTACCAGGTGGGGAGAAGGGCTTTGGTCTCTCTTCTCAGGGTAGCACTAGACTGAGATAGGATTGGGGGCAAGTTAGTTGCCAGGGCTTCTATTTATCTCTGGTAGTGCTTTATTCTGTGCATCTAATTATGACTTTTAAATATGAAATGAGAGGGGAAGATAATGAAACCTAAGTCAAATGTGACAGCTGGCGAATCTCTGATCATAGCACTTCCTTCATGTTGCTTACTAGTGTGTGAGTGTGTGCATGTGTGTGTGTGTGTGTGTGTGTGTGTGTGTGTGTGTGTGTGTGTATGGGGGGGGACCACCACCATCAACAAAACAACTCCAAAGGGTTCCAGGAAACAATATCAAATGTGATTTAATGACATTTTCCATTTGAGACAGGGTAGAGATAAAGTAGCATTCTACGTTTGCTACTTCTTCTTTAACATTAGAAAGCCTAGAAAATTCTATATACACATCAGTTTCAGGATAAGTAAAATGCCTCTCAATTTCCTTTCTCTTTCTTATCTCCATACCTTAAACCAAGGTTAAAAAAGGATAAGGAACGTTTATAGTATAATCAAGGTGAAATTTTTTCACAGTATTGGAAAAAACAAACTCTAACCCCTGTAGATAACTCATATGATGACCTGATATTGGAGGAAATCAATGCTTATCTGCAATAGATCTCTGGGATCTTTTTTCAATGGAGGTTTTCTTCAGCTGGCCATCCTCCAGGTTAACAAAATGGACAGCAAACCAATTCTTAAAGGAAATCTTCAGAACAAATTTGACAATCTGACTAGGAGACTCCACTTGTTGCAATTTGGAGCTGAATGTCAATCAAAGCCTAACTCTTTGATGCCCAGTTGTGATACCCCCCCTCCCACCAGAACCTGGCTCCAGGTGGAACCTCAGAGAACCTCACTTCTGCCATCCCTTACATGGAAATCACTGGGATCAGAGTCATTGATTCACAGTTGACTTTGGAGATTCTGCCATTTTCCAGGGATTTAGCCTGTTCTGTCCCATGAGTTTTGCCCTAGGGGAAACCATATATGCTTGCAGGGTCCCTGTTGGGTTGCAATGAAGTGAAGTAGCCAAAGCAGGAAAGGAAAATGCTAAGCTCTGTTCTTCGTGTGACATCTCTTGACTGACTACCTTTTCTGTCCCTTAGATTCCTGCCGAGGGTCCCAGTTTCATGGGAACTCATTTTATGTGACGTCTGAAACTACTGCTTACTGTGACTTCTCAGATTTGGGATATTTTAAATCTCTAATTTCAAAATAGAACATTTCTTTAGATTAGGTTTTGACCTATGTGTCAGGATCTAGAACTAGGGAGGGGCACGTAAGTGATAGGAGATTCAAGCTCTATTTATAGAGCTTGGTTTTGCTTTTGGGTTGGAATTGCCAACAGACTAGTTATGGGCCATGATTCTCCATGAAAGCCATCAAATACAACTCTGTGTACTCACAGAGATAGAGAGGGATGCTGATGGGGAGGAGGAGGGTATCCTCTGGCAGGGAATGCTCTTGTAGCTGCTTATAAGCCTCAGAATCTCTTCTCCAGGATGGTTTGGGTTTTCTGAGAATTTGCTCTTTGACTGTCCTCTCTACCCCTATCAATATGGCCACCAAGGACTGGCTTTCTCCCAAAGTCCACTCTCTGCAATAGTCCTACCTTGCTGTGTGCATTAGCAACATCAAGGTAATGCTCTACAGGTAAATGTTTAACAACTGGTTTCTTAGGGAGAGAAGGGGAACCCCTGGCTTGTGTTTGCTAATTTCCATGGTGCAAATTCTCCCACCATGGCCAATTTTGAGTTATCACCATGAAGTCACTAAATGTGGAGTTGGAAGATGAGCTGTAGAACATCCTTGTGTAGCAAGTTCATCTTTTGGATCTGACTGATACAAATAATGTCAGGAGCCCAGAAAGCAAAGAGTGATGAAATAATTAAGAAGTGATTAGGTTGGGTACTTATTACCTGTGCATTAAATATAATTTATTTAATTGAAAATTTATACAATTTAATTTTTAATAATGGCTGTACTTAATAATCAGCTTGCAAAATTGCTAAGAATTTAACAACCAGAACACATGGCAGCTCTAGGGTACCACTGGGTTTTAAGTTGGCAAAAAAAAAGGAAGAAAAAGGAGAAATGAAAGAGCACATTTAGTACCACAGTACTAAAAGCCTCCTAAGCCATTTGGACTTCATGGCTAGGTCCTTCTGAGCCTTGGGTCTTGAGTTCATAGGAATGATGTGGTTGATGTTGGTCAGAGGCCTGGACTGCGGAGGCAGACATGTAGGTGTTTCTCACCTATAAAGTGGGTATAATAAACAGTATCCATTTCATAAAGTTGTTAGGGAGATTATATGAGATAGTATATTCAAATACTTAGTCCACTGGGTCATGTAGTAGACTCTCAATAAATGGTAGCCATGTGTGCTATTATGACTTCTATCTGAAGATAAAGTGATTCATGTGAATACTAATTGTTAAAAACAACCTGACATCCATTTCACCAATAATCATTCATGTTGGCTCAAGGAGAGGGATGGTTCTTTCTCCATACCTACAGAAAAAGCTGTGATTCAAATATGGGTAACTCCTTTCTCACCATTAAGTGCTGCTGTCTCTCTAGGTCTTCTTAGAATGTACATGTTCCTCAGAGGATGTCAGTAAGTCTAGCACCTCAGTGTGAATGAGACAACCAGAACCCAGGGCTGTGCAGGGGTTCTTRGGAATCTAAGAAGCCTGGCAGTGGGTGAAGAGAGACAAGAAAGGGCATTGAGACCTCCACATACCTGTCCCCACATCATCTCCCTGGGGCTGGCCTATTCCCAGGTTGACCAGATGCTACTAAAAGCAACTCCACTTGAGTCTTCCTCTTCCTGTTCTCCCATCTGTCCTAGGGCAAAGGCCCAGTTGATCCACTGCTGATGTGGGAACATTGCTAAATATTTTGGGCAGTCTTCTTATTTTGAGAACCCTCAGTGTGAAATTGGTTAATCTGAGTTCTCCCTGTGGTCTGATCACTCCATGTGTGACCTGGAGAAGGTAATGTCCTGCCTGGGCATTTTTATTGTTTTTTAGTATATTGAGGATACTGTTAAGGATTAACCTGAGACTCAAATGAGAGAGAGCCCTTGAAGAGCACTAAAGCTCAAACACACTTTTTGGGTATTATTTTCTATTTCTTATTTGTTGTTAGTTTGCTCCTTTTTCTTTAATTCCCTTACATGTAGATATGGAGAGAAAGGCCTCCTTGGAAGTACCATAGATGGAAGAAAATAGCACATGTCCTCCTCCTTATTCTAAGGATTTCTAGAAACCAACATGCAAGAAGATCCTCTCCAAGATCACTTACTCATAACACAGTCTTGTATGCAATAACAACGACCTGAAGTTATTCYCAGGTTGGCTCAGGTGACTTGGCACAAGAAGGCAAAGGTGGTGTCCTCAGGAGCCCCGAGGCCCTGTGAATGTCAGTTGTATTCTTCATGAGGTTGGTTTGTTTGTCTGGGGCACCTGGGATGCTACCCAAATGTTTTCAAAATGGTTGAGCATCAGAAGTCAGGAGAGGAACTGCGGTTTCTACGGTTATCAGACTTACAGCCAAGCAGGTCTTGGATTACAGAAAGGGATTGGGGACTAAGTAGGGAGTCAGACAAGCCTATTTTTTTCTGGCACTGACCAACCAGCCTCAAGTCATTCCTGGACCATTCTTGTGGGTGGAGGTGAGAAGCTAGTGCCAGTGCCCCGGGGGAACATGTCCCGTAGCTCTGAGAGCAAGCAGGATGCAACCTAAAGTTTGTCACCCACTCAGGGCTCTGAAAAAATGAAGCCCTAGCCCCAGGGCTCTAGCAATTATTGTGTGACTCCAGAGGATTGTGCTGTCAAATCTTCCAAGGACCTCTTTCTGGTACTTGGGGTGTGAGGTGGCAGCAAAAGTGGCTGGAGAATTACTCGGGTTGTTTAGGGGGAGGGTGTTGTGTTTCAGGATGAATTATTTTTGATGAAGAAAAGATTGCTGATGGGCAGCCAGGACTCTGCCTGAAACTAAGCACTCACTTGGAGGCCTGCCAGGATCCAGCTGAGGTGACAGAATGGGCTGGCGAAAGGCCCACTGGGCCCCAGTGAGCACTTCTTGGGGTTTGGGAGTAATGCTTCCCCAGTGCCTGAAGTGTGGCAGAGGGGAGAAGCAGACTCAACCTCAAGAGGCAGGACTCCCTCTGAAATAGACTGAAAAAAGAAAGAAGAAACGATTTGGACAGTACATCTTTCAACTCCCAACAGTCTTTTCCTTTTGGAAATAGTGGAGAAAGGAACTGGGGATGGCAGGAAATAACTACTCTGATCGAATCTTACAAACATTCTATAAAACTATGTCAACGAAGCAGGACAGACATCACGCCAAGATCTGGAATCACAGGATGTTTACATGATATTAATGCCCGCGGCAGACAAATACTAAATACCACAAAATACCTGAGACAAAATTAAAAGGAAAAAAAAAAAAGAAGGAAAGAAGGAGAAGAATAAAAAGGAGTCTAGTGTCCTGACATCCAGAGGTCCGGGGCTCACAGGCCGTGTGTGGGCTTCTGGTGGCTCCTGGCCTCACATCTCGGCTTCTGCGGAGTGGACTTCCGTCGCAGTGATAGCAATTCCGATGGCAAGGCTGCCATTGTCAGAGAAGAGCTGGGCCAGGGAGGTGTTGAGGACGAGGCAGTCCCCATCTGTGATGACCGAGTCCACGCACTCGAGGACAGACCGGGGGGTGGCCTCCCATTTGAGACGCCGATGGTTTCTGTTGAGCTCCAGGCGATAGGTGAAACAGTCGGCCTGGGTGGGGGTCCCGATCAGCATCATGGTGGCAAAGAACTGGGGGTGCCCTTCGTGCCTCTCCTGCTTCCTGAGCACCAGCAGAAAGTGGTGGCCGAGGCAGGAGTGCATGATGATCCAGTCGGCCGGCGCCGGCAGGTGCATGTCTGTGGCCAGGAAGACGATTTCCGCTCCCTGAAGGATGTCAACCCTGTGGGTCTGACGCAGATGGGGCACAACCACCTCCAGGTGGCCTTCCCACTGGCAGGAGAACAAGGGGCACAGGCAGGGCGTCACCTGGGCAGCGTGCAGCCCTGCCTCCTGGTGGTGGAGGTGGTGGGGGTGGGCGTGGTGGCGCAGGTGGTGGTGGTGGCGGTGGTGGCGCAGGTGGTGGTGGGGGAGATGGTGAGGGTGGAAGCTGCCTTGCTCTGCAGTGCTCTGAGTGATGGCGCGTCTACTGGACACATACTAGAAGGAAAGAGAGTAGTATTAGTGGGGCATGAGACCTGTGTCTGTCCCTGGCTGCGACTCCCCTGGTGACCAAAACGTTAAAAGCTGATTGTCGGGCTGGGGTTGTAGCTCCGTGGTGGAGCACTTGCCTACTAAGGATGAGTCGCTGGGTTCGATCCTCAGCACCACATAAAACTAAATAAATAAAATTAAGGGATTAATTACAATTTTTAAAAAAATTAAAGCAGGTTATTTAGTGCCAACAGAGAAAGGTTCATTTCTTTTAAAAATGAGGGACATTTTGGGTACCTGGGGAGATGGGGGGGTTAAGATTTTGGAAACGTGGGCCAAGAAAATGCAATATTTATGTCTTTGTGATTCTTTAATAAGATATCCAAGCAAATAGCAAATAGCCAATTTTCCCCCTCAAATAACATTGTACTGTAATGGTCATCAATCATGAAGAACACCCCCCACCCTGGTTGTTTTTGTTTTTGCTTGCTTGATACTGTTGATATTTTTGTGCAGACAATAGAAGTCAATGGATTTTTTTTTCTATTTTATTATTGCTTTTATTTTTAGAATAAAAACTCAATAATACCTATTTGTCCTTCCAGGGTTATCCGGGGTCATACAGTTTTGTGTATCCTTCTCCCAGGTCCTAAGGCAACCATTGGGACACAGAGGCAATTGTGTGCAGTTGACCCCAGTCACCAGGGAGGAAGCCCCACCCTTGACTCCGGGCACTGTCCCCCACCATGGACGCTTCTACCCTATGCCTCGCTCTCTGCTCCAGACCAACTTCTCAGGGGCTCACTTCCAGGCACTTCCATTGTGACAGTCTCCTGACCCTTTGTTCCTCAGGGCAGTGTGCCCACAAATGTCCTTAATAACAGTCAGACCTGTGATAGCACCTTCTGATCAGGCATCTGTAAGCATGTATGGAGCACCCGCTATGGCCAGGCCCTGAAGGCGTTAGCGATAGACACCGTGTCTCTTGGTGTGGGTGGTACAGACATTAATATGCTTATAATTAATCACACATTTGACAGGGGTCCTCCTTGTGACATGAGGACTATGATTCATATTTTTCAGTTGAAGATACAGGCTTCAGCTGCAATGTGCCTGAGGTTACCACGCGGGAAAGCCGCAGACAGGGATTCGTTTTCACACCTCCTGACTCAGAACACAGAGCACGTACCCCACCCCAGTTCTGCCTGCCTTCAGCTCCCCACTCTCACTCCCGAGTTTCTCTTGTCTTTAATTAGCTACTGAAGGATCTGGGCCATTGGGTGGAGGTGGCAGCCTTATAGTGCCCTCCCCCCACCCCCAGCCCAGGCACGGGGCCCTCACCTGGTAGTGGTCTCCTAGGCTACCCTCAGGTCTCGAAAGTCCCGTCTGCCCTAGTTCTCCAAATGCTTTCCAGACTTGAAGTGCCTTTGGGCACCTGCCTTTTCTCCTTGCTTCAGTTTGTTCCCAAAGTATAGAAAATAGGGTGAAAGTCTGCCTTTTACACTCACCACCATGGTTACAAGAATTTTTCTCTCTGCTAGCTCACTGTGGCTAACTGGCATCCCCCTCTTTAGAGTATGAGTACACGCACACATTCAAACACGTGGTATGCAGAGACGGCCACCTGGTGGTGGAGGTGACCTAGAGGCAGGTGGGCATAGATGAGGTCTGCTCTGGAGTTGTTAGCTCTAGCTTCCGGGGTCTGGGTTCTTGCAGAAGCAGTGTAAGCTATGGAAGTCCCTCCAGCAGTGCCTTCCTGCCTCTGATGGTAGCTACTGGGCCGCCTGCTGTCACCCATCCTCACCCCTAAGGGAGACATTGCGCCTTCATCAGCCGCAAGGTGACAGACTATGTTCCAGAATTCTGCTAGTGATCAGTTACCCTTTAGTATTAAACACCGAGAAGGGAGTTACCTAGTATGTAGCATCTACTAAGTGTTCGGCACCAGGAAAAGTAGATTTTAGAAAATAATTATTTCATTAATTCTCTCACAGTAAAGATCAGTTTGGGGTTTTTTGTTTGTTTACAGATAAATTAAACCTTGTTGAGTTGCCATCTGCCTGCCGGCAGCCTGGACCATTTACTCACTGGGTAAAGGGAGGGTTCCTCCCAAGAAATCCAGGGCTGCATCTCCATCAGCTAGGCTCCAGCTTGCCGCAGTCCGGCTGCGCACAATAACCGGGAGGTCACGAGCCACTTGTAGATTCAAGTAGGAACGAACTTTATTCGAGAACCCACGCGAACTCCACAGAAACTCAACGGGAACTCCGCGAGAACCAACGGGAACTCCGAGAGAACTAAACGGGAACTCAACGGGAACTCCGCGAGAACTCAAAAGTAGCAGGCACACGAGGTAGCAGGAGTCGCCTTATTGCCGGACAGCAGAGGTCCATATACACAACTGAATATACAGCCTGCCCCAATCCAGCACCATCCAGTTACAGCAATCAGTCATTATCTTAATAATTACACACAGCTTAACTTAATTATCATCATCTTAATGGCTCGCTGGCATTACCCCTCAACCACTCCTTCTGGCAAAATGCCAGGTGCCATCTTGACTTGGTTGTGGCTCTCAACATTGAAGGCTGAAGCGGGAACTGCTTTATTGCAGGGAAACTCAGCAGGAACGGAGCGGGAACTCAAGGTAGCGGGCACCCAAGGTAGCAGGAGCTGCCTTATTGCAAAACAGCAGAGGTATATATACCTAACTGGTTACACACAGCTTGACTCAATTAGCATCATCCAGTTACAGCAATCAGCCAATAAGGAATCCCTACCATCTAAGTGGCTTGGTGGCGTTGCCTTACAAACCACTCCTCCTGGCAAACTGCCAGGCGCCATCTTGACTTGATATGTGGTCCCCAACACCAGCTAGGCTCCATGGTCTTTCCAGAAGTCTGCACCTTCCTGAAAGGTGGTCTGCCTCTTCAGCTGTGCTCAAGAAAACCCAGTCTTGTGCTCTGATGGGAAGCCCCAAATGCTGCCCCTACCCAGTCTCTGAGAAGACCCCTTTCTCACATGGGCTTTACAATAATCATGAGAGAAATATGTTATGCTTGTCTTATTGATGAAGAAACTAAGACACAGAGGGACTGAGTCACTTGCTCAAAGTCACACAGCACATAAAAGATGAGGCTGGAAATGGAGCCCAGAATAGCTAAAGGGGACAAGGATCATAGTCTGGGAAGAACACAGTCTGGATCTCAAAAGACTTTTATCTGTTTACTTGTCCAGCAAGTAAATGAAGGAAGTTTTCTTACTGGCAAAAATAATTAACCCCAAAGGTCTTGCTGACTGGGAGAACAACAAGTTTGAAAGGGCCAGATGCAAAAGAAGGCAAGATGTTTAAGAAGCAATAAAATAATGCCTTAAGATGGCATTAAAAAGGAAGTCAAGTGTTCATACGAAGATGATCTTTCCATTTAGATGGGGTTGGGGGTGAAGACTTTGGTGACCTTCTGCCTTGGTCCATGCCTTCCTCTCTCCAGCCTGGTCACTTGACCTTCACACGTGGGTGGCAATTTGGTTGAACACAGGCTACCACAAGAGCCTGGAGAACCTGATTTTGCCCTTGGCCTAATGCATGACGACAGAATGTCCTGGGATTCCCGTCTCAGAAGTGGCCTCTGGGCTAGTTAACCTCCATAAGCCCTTCCCCAGCCCACTCTCCTTCTTCTGTGTTGTGCTGTGCAGCCAATGTCAGACACGTGAAGTCACAGTAGGGAAGGAGGGGGGATACCCTGAGCTCCCTTATCCCTCTCTCCAATCTGCCAGTGCCCCCCCATCAGACAATGCAACCAGGAACCTGTCAGCAAAGGGAGTCGAGAGTGCACCAAGCAAGTGTTGACTCCCTTTGGAAATGGTACTGAGCGAGGCAGGTAGGCGGAGGAGGAGGAGGATGCCTATCTGTATGCAAATATCCCTGTTCCCTCCTATGTGATGTGGTAGGTGAGCTCTGATGAGGTTTCAGGTGGGGAGGAGAGAGAAACATGACCACAACTCAAGGTAGTCACCTAACAGTGCAAAGGGTTGAGGATACAGAAGAGCATCCTTGTTCCTGGCTCACTGGCCCCTAGGATCATGTATGTTATAAAACAATGCAAAAATGCAGTGTAGCAGGTCCTCTGTATCTGTGCTTTCTGTCAACCACAGATTGAAAATATTTTCGAAAATCATATCTGTACAGAACATGTACAGACTTTTTTTCTTGACACTATGTTCTAAACAAAATGTACAGCATTTGCATCGTAGTAGGTTTTATAAATAATCKACTATGGTTTAAAGGATTTGGGAGGATGTCCATGAGTTATATGTAAACACTAGGTCATTTTATATGAGGGGCTTGAATATCCATGGATTTGAGTACCACAGAAGTTTCCGGAACCAATCCCAGCAGACACTGAGGGAGGATTTCAGGCATGAAGGGCTCTCATAGCAAAAAGTAGGGGAGGCTATTCTAGCGAGCTTGAGGGACATTTATTCTGTGTGAAGCATGAAGGGTGAGTTCTCTAACAAATTAGGTAAAGGTCTTGCCGACAGGGAGAACAACAAGTTTGAAAGGGCMAGATGCGATAGAAGGCAAGATGTTTAAGAAGCGACAAGAAGTTTCCAACAGACCTGGCAGATGGGCCATCTGGTGGAGATGGAGAGGGGTTGGGCCTTATTGCCAAATCAAGGGGAGGCTGAGATGGCCTTCAGTGCCCAGTGGGAAACCAGCAGGAAGGCCCAGGACTCAGCTGTGCACTTTAAAGTGTTCTTGAGGGTGGCACCATGTGCCCAGGCCCACAAGCAGAGCCTGCTCCAAACTAGCACTCAGAGTGGGGCCAGCAGCCAGTCCCCACCCTGTCCACCCAGTGGAAACAACAGTGCTCTGCACCTAAGCGCTCCTGTAGCTTCCTTTGGGCTTCTTCATCTGCCAGCCTTTTTACGTCTTGTTTTTTTAATTGCTGCTGTATCACAAAGCAGCCAAGGATATAATCCAAAGAGACCGAATTGAATGACTA